GTTAGCACACTGAGGACAACCATGCTCGAGCATAAAAATAATATATCTTGCCTTACATATGAATGCTTGTCTTTTTAAGTAATGTTGTATTTAGAGGAATAAAATGTTAAGCTTCTTTGCTAGTTGTTTTCCTCTAGTCTCCTGAATTCAGGGTTCCGCATGTACACAGTGGAAACCACACGGAGAACAACCAGTCGCCATTCAACTCAAGACATATCTAGAGTTTTATTCAGACAGTTAAATTAATAGAAAACACAGTTCAGCTTCACACCCAAACCATCAAGAAGTCCAAACCATAAAACAGACATTAATTACCTGAGAAAAGTAGAAAAATGAACTCTAAGAGTTTCTTTCAACTCTTTTTCAGAATTTAAAGAAATCAGCGTGAAGTCCGAGGAAAAGATGGATGACCAGCGCAGACTGCTGGGTTTCAGCCGGATACCGAAGATCATCTTACACCGGATAGGTACGAAACACCTTCACAATTTACTGATGAAAAAGCTTAGAGAGCTGAAGAAGGGGAAAGAAAGATAACTGAGGCGACTCGGTGTCCCACTGAAAGTTTTTTTTTTTAATTAAACATTTTTGAAAAATTGTACAGAGTCAATTGGCATGTATGTACAAGAAGATGTAAAATCTTAGAGGTTTAATCAGGCTAATCATTGTTTATTATAGATTTTTTATACATAGGACAGTGATAGCAAAACGTGTTTCAGACGGAATGAATCAGGAGAGGAAAACTGCAGAACCAGGCACCAGTGTGTTTTCTTCCCTCAATCATCTCCTGAGACCGAAAAATGATAGAAGTGGCAATTTAAAGAGCAAATCTTACTAATAGACTAATAAAGTAAATAAATATTGTGAAGGGAAATTGTTAATTTTTTTCTACGTTAAAGTTTGTTAGGGCTTTCAGTGTAGGAAAAATGTTGATATCTTTCATAAAAACGGTGTTCTGTGGTCAATATTATTTCCCTATTATTTTATTAATGTAGGTTGCCAGTTTGGATAACCTTCATTCTTATCAGGCTGTAAAAATGAAGTAAAACATGCTAACAAAATGCCTCAGACCTGCAGCCCATCGGTGGTTCTAGACCAGTGGTTCTTAACCTTTTTTGAGGTACTGAACCCATCAGACTCATATGTGCATTGACTGAACCCTTCTGTAGTGATAAATATATATTATTTTCCAAATTCAAGACATATAACTAAAGCAAAAGGAAATGACAAATGAAGGAAACACCCTGGAAGCTAAGGTTAAAGCATATGACACCCTAAACAGAGTCTAACAAAGGAAGTTAGTAACTGTTGCTTGTTGCCATTTTGTCCTGCTAGCTCCTAAAAGTATCATGAGAATTGGACCAGCTGCATTTTGGTATTGGTAAATGGAATTTATGAATTCAACTCACTGACTCTTCCTCAACCTCATACATCAAGAATTTAGCCTGGAAAATGGATACAGGGTTTCCCCCAGAAAACTTGCTAAGCCCGGTGGTCGAGGCGGTCCACCGTGTTTTTGTATTAAAAGATGTTAAGTTGACAGGAAATGTAAAAGTATTACTGTGTAATTATATGTTACGGGAAAAGATCTCGAGTGAAATGCTATTTAAACCCACAACTAGTCTAAAAACAACAAATTTGCTCTTCTGTTTAATCCAAATTAAGTCAGCAGCTCCATCAGGCCCCCAAGGCTTCAGGGACCCTATAAACGCTAAAATTTTAAAACAGACCACAGATACATAAATGTAACACTTGTTTATTGAGATGATCAATGCTGTTACATTTTATTCAATTGTTTAGGCATACATAAATTAAATGATTTTAAATTGTTTAACATTTAAATACAAGATTTTAAGGAGCTGGCAAGTTTACTTTGTAAAACTTCAAAGAACAATATTCATAGTTAGATTGTTTTGTTACCATAACAACAATCTGATGCTGTGAGTTTAATCTTTGAATTTACAAATACAAATTAGTAAACTGCGATTATAACTTATTGCTTTTTTGGCTGGCCAATTAAACTACTCCCTTCTCCCATATTTCACTAAATCAAACACAGAAGCTGTTAGAGGTGCTGATATTTTTAGCAACAAAAGGGGCCCCTAAATCAAATTCAGCTGAAGGCCTCATACAGCCTTGAACCGGCCCTGCATGATGAGGTAATCTGCTGCACTACCAGAGATGTGCAACAAACGTGTCTGTTGAGTTTCTAATAAGCGTCACAGAAGCTATTCTGGTCGGTCGAGTTTCTCAGATCTCTGTGTGGCTGCACGCATTAACTCCAAGTAGATATAGTTTGATGCATCGTGTAACCGGAAAAATAATAATAAAATAATATAAAATCAGCGTGATGCGTGACTCCGAGGACACCAGGCTGAACCTGCATGATGAGGTTAGCGCTGCTCATTATCCACAAATGCTCCGGCCAACCGTGACCACAGACATAAACTTTACAGGGAAGACAGAC